TGGCCAAGTTTGGACAACACTGCTATAAACTAACAGCCAGAGAAGTCTTCCAGCCGAAGCTAAAACGACGGGTCTGTGTCGATTGTGTCTCTTCTAGTGTGAAATTCATCAGCAAAATCCAGTATGTTCATACCTTGGAGGAACTAGCTCATAATATTCCCATGGAGCATGTCCAGATTCCAGACTGCATCCTGCAGTAAGTGTTGTATTTTGACTTTCTTAGAACCGTCACACGCTCAGAAAGATCCATTTTCCAGCTTTCCCCAGTTTCTCCACCAGCTGGCTTCTCGGCCGTTTACTGTTGCTTTCTGGTGGGGAAACAAAAATTAATTAAGACAAGAGATGCTCTCTTTCTTCAAAGTGCATTTGAGGGGGGGTGTCCCTCAGAATGCCTGCCAGCAGCCCCACTTTTATGACGTATGAAAGGCTAATAAATGTGATTATGGCATTAGGTCTCCACAAATTAGAGCCCGTTTCATTCGACGCATGGCCGTTTCTGCCAGTAGCCAGAAAGGGCTGTTCCGGGGTGTGTTCTTGAATTATAGTGCCTTATGGCATGGAAGGCAGAGCATGGATGAGTGTGCCCGGTGCAGGAAAAGGCGAAGGTTGGCACTGGGAGGCCCTGTGCTGCGGGTACATCATGGGCACGCAGGGAATGGCTAGTTCAGCCACAGGTATGCACGAGTAGCACTCGGGCCTCCTTGCTAGCAAACATCAGCCCGACAGCCTTGGAGAATGACTGTCGGTCCTGCTAGACCAGTGTTTCTCAACCTTGGCCACTTTAAGATGTGGGGACTGCAACTCCCAGAATTCCCCAGCCAGCTATTTTTAAAGAATAATCCAGGCGAAGGGCAGAGAAGCAGCATTGGGGAGGGGGCCCTCTCCCGCCTAGAGGGAACGGGGTGCTCCCCCAAGGAGACGCCCCGTGGCAGGGATTCCCTAACCCCCTCCCTGCCTTCGCCGTAGGTTCGAAGAGGAGCGAAGCCAGGCCAGGAAAGAACGGTACGTCTGCTTCGGTGGGCGAGGAGGGAAGGAAGGAAGGGGGTCCCCCGGACTCAACAGGGCCGCGCCTTCCGGGAAGGGAACGTTTTAAGGCGGCCGCGTTTCGTTTCGTTGCAGGGCAGAAGGAGTGAAACAGGACCCGGTTGAAAGAGAGAGGTGAGCCTCCCTGTTCCCTTTCGCCAGCAGCATCGTGTAGACCAGGGTTCCTCAACCTTGGCAACTTTAGGACGGGTGGACTTCAACTCCCAGAATTCCCCAGCCAGCTTTGGGGAGCTCCAATTCTGGGAGTTGAAGTCCACCTGTCTTAAAGTTGCCAAGGTTGAGGAACCCTGCCATAGAGAAAAGCTAGAAATCCCGGGAGGGGGGGCTGGGAGCCCCCTTTCCGCCCCCAAAGGCTATTCAAAGGCGTCCGAGGCACCTCAAAGGAAGAGGCTTTAACCTAGATCCAGCGTCAGTCTGGCCACTCCACGCGCCCAATGAAGGGACCTGTGGATCCCCAAAGCCTCCGCCTTGGAATCAAATTGCTTCGTCGGGAAAGGTGCTCCCAGACCGATTTTGCTGCCCCTGTAGACAAACGGGGCTCTCCTCCCACAGGACCAAAGCCTGGGGTGGCGAGAGAAGCAACGCCTGGCCAGCTCATGTCCCCTTGGACTTGATTCAAAAGCTGGGTTGTTCACATTCCCCTCTGTTTGCATCTGTTTGAAGTCCACCAGGAGCCTGCTGTGGGGTTCGCGACATTTATTCAGACTAATAGAAGCGAATATGTGGAGCTGAGGGTTGAACTGTGGAGTCCTTGGGGTTCTCTGAGCTTGGCTGTTTCCTTGCAAACGTTTCGTTACTGAAGCTAGCACTGAAGCTAGCACTGAAGATGTTGCCTAGCTGGGTAACGAAACGTTTGCAAGGAAACAGCCAAGCTCAGAGAACCCCAAGGACTCCACATTTATCCAGACTGGTGCCGTTGCAGGGTTCAAGACTCCCCAGGGCTGACTCTGGGGTTAGGTAGACAAGGCTACCGCCAGCCACTGATTATTATTGGCAGGAAATGGTTAGTGACCTAAACTGTTTCTGCCCTGTTTCCAGATAAGTGGCCACTTCAAAGGTGTGGGGGGGGGGGAACATGAGCTTCTCTGCTTGAGGCCTCCAAGTGTCTGGGGCAGCCCTTAGTCACAGTGGCGTTTAAAAAAATAAGTGGAGTTTATAACATTTATCAACACTTTGTCTCGCTTCCAAAACAGGACCGCCCTTCCTTCAGAGGATCAGGAAACAAGGTTTGGATTTTGTTTTTAATTAAAGCTCACCTCTTAAGTTTGGGGGTAGTCGTTGCTTTTGGGAGGTCACAGTCGTGTGTCCTCGGCTAAGAGTCAGTTTGTCAACCTATTGCATGAGAAGCAGTTGTTTGATCTGCCATATTGATGATCTGTCTTTACTGCAAAGTTCAAACCTAAGTCCTTTAAATGTTTTGAAACTCTGTATATACAGTACAAGGACAGTCGTGTTTCAGTTGCTCATTAGGGGTAATGGAACATCTGCAAGAAGACAACCAAGCTCAGAGGACCCCAAGTTGACTCACTGGGTCATTTCCAGATGATGTAGTTGTGGTAAAAGTGAAAACTTCCCTCTGTAGTTTTTCCAAACTCTGTATTTTTCTTCTAGTTTATGGTAACCTCCCAGTTCTTCCAGGGCACAGTCCAGACAAAAGCCACAATCAGCCATAAGTTTTAATTGTGAGTCGCCCAGAATCACCCGTTGGGGGAGATGGGCGGCATACAAATTAAATAAATAAATAAATAAATAAATAATCATCTCTCTCACTTAATCAAGGATGTTACCGGTCATCTGAATCTTGTCTTCATTTAGCTACACCAAGGGTTGGGTTAGGGTTAGGGTTGCCATCCAAGTGGGTGCTCTGAGCTGCCTAGAGTTTTAGCAGAATAACTCCCGTGTTTCTTCATCATGAATCCAGTAGCTTCATGAGAGAAACTCGCTGGAACAATGAGTTTTATGTGCATAATTGGTATGGCATCTCCTGGTGGAGGAAGGGATGCTCCGAAAGCATCTCTTTTTGGCCGAACCAGCCTTCCTCTTCCTGTCCTGTTGTACACAGAATCAGAGATTCTCCAGAACGACTGGAAGCTGTTTTAATCTCTGGGGCTTTCTCACCCTCATTGCCCCTTTTCACCTGTGGTTCAGCAACACGTGCAGCTGAGGGTCCTCTTTGGCTAGGCATATTCTATAAAAGCTTCCAGGGTGATGGGAGACAAGTTGCGCCTTCCGACGGATTAGTATCAGGAATGCCAGGAAGACGATGAATAGCCTACAAGGCTTCTCGTCCACATGGACTTGGGAAGCTGTGTCCACTTTGGGGAGCATCAGCCGCTCCAGGAAGAGTGTTTTCCTGTTTTTTCACCTTCATCTGGAGGAACTTGCAATCTGAACGGTCCAGGGCCAGCTGGCTAGTCTCTTACTTGGTGATTCACAAGTGTGGGTGGCTAGTGACTCCTGTCTCACCATCTTTACAAGGAGACCTTTTAGATCAGGAGCATCAAGAGTGCCGGAAACATCCAGAGATGGCTTAGATGTGAAAGAGACTGGTGTGAACATTCTTCATAACTTCTCCAGCCACAATTCTTTGCCCATTCTTTTTTCGGGCTGCCTGCTCTACATGTTCAGCTCCAATGCCTCCATTGACCCCTGAGCCTTCTTAATATATCCTTTCTCACTTTTGAACATGCTGGCTCTAACTGTCCTACCTCCTGGCTGGCTGCAGTTAGGAGAAAACCAGATACGTGACGCTGTAGTTCTCCGCTCATCCAGTGCCCAGTCAGTTCCATACAGGACTGTCACGTTGAGGGCTTATTCTCTCTTGGTTTAAACCAGGTTTTAGTTTAACATTAGGGGGCCTTAGTGGTTACAGCTGTTCTACTGTAGTATCAAGAGAATGGTGGCCCCTTCTGCCCTGGAGATCTTCCTTGCTGAAGATACTGTTTGATTTCCTCTGGCTAAGATGCCTCCGCAGAGGAAAGTAAATAGATTGGGCGGTCCAGCTCTGATTGCCCTATTTTGCCGGTCGTTTACATTGTTAAGCTCTGTAACGTAAATGACAGTTTGCAGTCTTCAAATATTAGCTCTGCCTAACTTTCTCTCTCTCCCCTACCCCTCCAGCATGTCATGAACTGAGATGCAGAGGCAGACGGAGCTGAAGGAACACCCAGCCTGATGTGTTACCCGCTATAAATTCCCTTCCTGGTGTTCAGACCTTGTAAGCTTCTCATCTTCAGCCTGTCAGAAGAAGCAGCCCGCTGCTTCTCCATTACCAAGGCAAAGTCAACTAGAGATATTCCATTCCACAAAAGAGTTTGCAAATGAATAACTGTGTCCGGGAAAGGCACCGAGCACTTAAGTTTCCACCGCGTGGCAGAGATATTCTGCAGCGCCAATCTACGCAACTTTGGGATATGATAGCATCTAGTCCAGAAACAGAGATCTTGATTTTTACAGGGAAGGCTTTTCCTGTAGTTGCTGCAGGCCAGCATAGCAACGCCAAGGTGGAAAGCACATATTTCTTACCCGATAATTGTGAAAAGCAACGTTAGCCTCATGCATCGCTGCGTCAGGAATGGCTTACGGACAAGCTTTCCTCTCCTTCAGAGGCGGTTTGTGCCGGCCTGTCCCAAAAGACACGGAAAGTCTGTCCACGTGTCGCCTCATCAACCCTTGCATTGGGGGGCTCGTGCCGAAATCCCATGCAGCAAATGACGTGAGAGAGAATATTCATCCCAATCCTCCTTCCGAAAGATTGTCTCTCTCGATCCTAAATTCCCCAGAAGTAAAGAATATCCTTCAACCATCGTCACGAAGGTGAAAATACATGTATGGCTTTGATTGTTGTTATGACACTGGACAATCATCCCCTCCCTCTGTATCCAGATGTGACAGAGGGTGCAGACATACCCAAATCTCCTAAAGCTGGCAAAAACGGAAAGGCAGCAAACTTAAAACAGCCGAGTTGGAAAATGCACACATTACGACAAGACGTAGGTTTTTCTTAAACAAGAATGACATTTCAGTACTGCTTTTGTTTCCAACACGACAAATGTGAGGAACATCCAGTGCGAAGAGGAGCTCTGCCAAAAGGGTTTAGGGAGAGAAGCGCCTGCTCAGTTAGGAGCTTAACGATCAAGATCAAGCATGGACTTGAAGTGCGCAGACACGCAGATCCTCGCTCACTTAAAGTAGGACGTGAAGACCTTCCTCTTACCTACAGCTCTTTGAATTGTCAGTGGAGTTAAACGTCGTAGTATCAGTCCAGTGAGCAAGTTGCTCAGCCTCGCAGTAATCGCCGTATGATTCTTGCACAGCTTCTCACTGAAATGTCATTCCAGACCATGAAATTGTAAAAGAGGCCCAGGCGAAGAGAGGAAGACGATACTTACCCTAACAGCAGAAGCCAACGAAAGGAGATCGTGTACCAAGCACGGAAGTAGAATCTGTATCTCATTATGGGGCAATCCTGCGTGCTGATCCATTCACACACAATCATTAAGCATCTCAGAAAAAGTTCACAATCTACACATTTGAAAAGTTGCTTTTTTTCTTTTAACGTGCTGTAAATAAACAGTAAAATAATTGCGGGGACAACTCAGAACTCTAAGCAGTAACTTGGACAACTTGTAAAACAGTAGAACAACTTCTGAAGTCGCTTTGGATCGCTGCTCCGTTTAGTCAGGACGGCACCGTCTGAAAAGGACCGGCTCTCTGGGACGGTGGGGCCGGAGAAAGCAGCTTTCCTGGCTTGCTAACTGAAATCCACATGGTGGAAAATCCCCGGGGTTGGAATTTGTGCCATGAAGCTTCACAAAGCCAGAAAGAGCGTATCACGGCATGTTCTGAAACCCGACACTGCAGAAACATAAGGGGACCTGCAATCAGCCCGCTTTTATCATTTTACGTGATTTTCACCTGTCTTCTGCGTGTGCAACTTGCTCTCCATTTACTTCTTAAAAGTATGGAATGGCCTTGTAATTTCAGGGATTTGAGAGAAGAACTGGGAAGGGTTAGACGTCTGCAACCTTCCACCCCGTTCTTCTGTATGAAGTGAGAAGGAAATCAAACTGGCCCAAATGATGTCCTCTACCACAGTCTCTAAGCATTAGTCACGCATAAGCAAACATCTGAAATCCAACAATAATCTATCTGTGTGAACAATACCGTTTTTATTTCTCCATTGGCACAGGATCATAGAGGGTTTTCTCAAAGCTCATGCTTTTGAACAGCAAATGCATTGTTTCAACATGAAAAATATAATTTCAGGCCTTTGGCTGACACTTCCAATAAATTGAGTTTCCTTGAAGAAATAGAACGAACACAGAGGAAACTTTTTTTCTGGGGCATTTTTCAACGCAAGCTACATAGGAAAAGGAGCCCCTGGTCTAAAACTGCCCTGAAGGTGGTTTAGGTAAGGACATTTCAAGGTGGCTGTGCTTAGGGGATGGGGAGGGCGTTCAAATTCAGATTGCAATTCAATCCAACTTGCTTTTCTGTTCCTGAGCTATTTTTTTGCTATCTACAATTCTCAGAAAGTTGCAGTAGACTTCTCCAGTTAAACACCATTTCCACTGGGGAACAAATGGAAAAATGTGAAAATGTTATATATGAAAGAAAACTGTTAGTAAAAGACATGTCATTACAGACAGATGCCTATGGTATATTATGCACGCCAAATGCAAGCGTTTAAAAATTCAGAAACAGACATGCAAAGGTGAGAGACGGAACTTGATTAGAAAACAGAAAAGGTGAACCGGATGGATTTCCCATGCAAAGCTGTGGTCGTTTGGACTCGAGCTGCATTCGTTGCACTCGGAGAAGTGCCAATTTATACCACTTGTGGGTATCAGCAGGTAAACGCCTGCAGGAACTTCAGGAACCAGAAAAGGACCTGGGAAATCCAGAGTCACTCCACTGAGAAAGCGTAAATCTACTTGCCTTGCTTGAGTTCGTACTCGTTGCGTTTGTATCTGGGATTTGATCTAAAAGTTGAGTGGATGCGTCCAAAAGAGATCTTAGCTTATTAGACAGTGGATTTAGACCAGTGTTCCTCAACCTCAGCGACTTGAAGATGTGTGGACTTCAACTCCCAGAATTCCCCAGGCCCCCAGCCCAGGGCGTGGTGGGGCGTGGGGTCCGCTTCCCCCCCCCCCTCCCCGCCGCCCGCGGGGGCCCGCCCAGGCCCACCCCACCCCC